CATTCCTGTGTAGTGGAACCTCCATAAAAACTCCTACTAGACAGGGAGATTCTTGGTTGGTTAATACATCCAAGTGCTGGGAACGTGGCATACCCAGGGAAGGCATAGAAGCTCATGCTGCTCCTCACACTATACTTTGCCTTATGCATCTCTTCCATTTGGCTGTTTCTGAGTTGTAGCCTCTATAATACACTGGTAATAGTAAGCAAAGTGTTTTCCTGAGTATGTGAGTCCTTATAGTGAATTACCAAACCTGAGGTGGGGGAAGGGTCATGTTAACCCCCAAATTTTTGGTTGCGCAAAAGTGTGAGTAGCCTGACCATCCCATTGCAGCTGGCAAATGAAATGAGGGCAGTCTTGCAGGAGTAAGCTCTTAACCTGTAGGGTCTGATGCTAACTCAAGGGAATTAGTATCAGAGTTTAAGTGAATTAGACACCCAGTTGGTGTCAAACAATCAAAGAATCGGTTGGTGTGAGGGAAAAAACTCAGAATAATGAACAACTTCCTGCTAACAAACTTGAAAAGAGACATTTTCCTAGGAAAGACGTTTGGAAGTCATTCCAAACATGACTGAAGAAGAAAAAACCTGAATGGTCCTATAACCATTAAAGAAATTCAATCAGTAGTTAAAATTCTTCCCATAAAGAAAATACTAGGCCCAGATAGTCTTAAAAGTCTGTGGCTTATGTTTAAGGCACCTGGGTGGCTCAGTCATTAAGCATCTGATTCCGGCACAGAATCAGATTTTTTTTTTATTTTTAAAATTAAAAAAAATTAATTCTGGGTGTATCTGGGTAGCTCAGTCAGTTGAACATCTGACTCTTAATTTCGGCTCAGGTCATGATGTCGAGGTTCATGAGATTAAGCCCCATATCTGCCTCTGCACTGACAGCGTGGAACCTGTTTGGGATTCACTCTCCTTCTCTCTGCCCCTCCCCTGCTAGAGTGCATGCTCTCTCTCTCTCTCTCTGTCTCTCTTTCTCTCTCTCTCCCCCCCCAAATATAAATAAATAAACACTTTAAAAAGTTAATCCTGACATTATATTAAATTTTTTGGAGAAGAGGAAAATTTCTCCAAGTAAATTTATAAAGCCATCACAGGCATATTCCACAAAACATTTCCCTGATGGATGTTTTCCCAGTAAATTCCCTCCTGTATTTAATTCTCCAATGCCGTACAACGTATATATCTCTCAAACTAACATGTCAACTGATATTTATGTAGGAAATACTTTATTTAGCACCCCAAAACTCAATACATTTTTACCACCACCACCAACAACAACAAAGGTATAGGAAATGCCTTGAGTTACATTACAAACGTCGGTAAGATGTCCACACCATGTCAGCAAATCAAAAGCATACTGAATATCAAAGAAGGGGATCACAAATGCTACTGGTGATAAAAGAAGCATTAAAATATCATCCTCATTGTGAATCATTCTCTGTCACATTCCCAGTGTCTTTCGTATTTCATATTGCCCTTTTCCCCATGGTTTTATAGAATAAGAACCAAAAATGTTGACAAAGCGTTAAAGAACTTAATGGAGAAGGAAGAAAAAAAAGCAGAAAAGTAGTAACAATGAAAGAGAGGCTGTTACTGCTGACAAAGCAACTATTTATTAACAACTATATTGTTTAGTGATTCAGGAAGCAAAGTTATGAATATTTACATCCTAATGCTATACTTTGCTATTTAATGGAGGTTTGCTTACCATGTTTTAGTTATATTTTAGGAAATTGATTTGGGTTAACAAGCCACCCACTATAATTTTACCATTTAAAATAAAAATAGGGGCACTAGGTGGCTCAGTCAGTTCAGCATGTGACTCGTGATTTCAGCTCAGGTCCTCATTTCAAGGTTTGTGAGTTCAAGCCCCACATCAGGCTCCATGCTGAGTGTGGAGCCTGCTTGGGATTCTCTCTCTCCCTCTTTCTCTAGCCCTCCCCCACTTGTGCACATGCTCATGTACTCTTTTTCTCTCTCAGAATAAACTTTAAAAAAAAAAATAATGAGAAAGAGATAAAGCTTTTGCAGATGATGTGATTTTTTAGAAGAAAACCCAAAGAAATATGCAAATGACTTTAAATTATAAAAAGTATTCAAATTATTTAATATCTGTTGGATATTAATTTGGATCTATAGCACCCACCATAAACAAACATCAACCTCATATGGTTAGAATGAAATGTGCATCGTTCATCTGCAAAACTGTACTTATGCTCCTGATGAAAAAATTGGGAGTGGGACAAGGAGAGGGATAAGAAAAACAGCTCACTTCTCACTCTCTGCCTCTTACAGGGAGTTTGTTTCGTTGGTTTGTTTTGCTGCCATAACAAATTAACACAAATTTAGCAGCTTAAAACAACACAAATTTATTATCACACCTCTGTCGACAGAAATCTGGCATGAGCCTCACTGGCTAAAATCAAGGAATCAGCAGGGTCGTGCTCTTTTCTGGAGACCCCAGGAAGGAACCTGTTTCTATGCTCATTCAGGTTGTTGACAGAAGTCAGTTTCCTGCAGTTGTAGAAATGAAGTCCCTGGTCCTTGCTGTCACCTGAGGGCCATTACCAGCTTCTAGAGCTGAAACTGTATTCTTTGACTTCAAAGATCTTCCTCCAGTCTCAAAGCTAGCAATGGAAGGTTGAGCCCCTCTCCTGCCTTCTCTTCAGCCACATCTCTAATTCCTCTGCCTTCTTCTTTGATTTTTATCTCATCTCGTGGTCCCTAACATTAATCACATATTCACAGGTTCAGGAGAGGAGGATGTGGAACATTTGGTGGACCATGATTCTGCCTACCCCACAAGGAAACCCAGCTTCTTCCATGTTTGCACTACTGCTACCTGTAGCTTGTACATCCTTATAATAATGCCTCAGCCCCAGCAGGCAAGGGTGGTGGGAAAACTAGGTAGAAAACATCCTTTATATTTTTCTTATGTCCTTGCTGCTGGCCTTGGCTTAATTATTGGATTTTCTTTATCAGGCTGTGTGAGGTTGAAGCAGACAGGAAGATGAAGAATTTAGAATTGATTTCCTGACAACACTAATCCAGTAACTGGAACAAATGCCTCCCCTCTTTCTACTCTTGAAACCATCCAGAGTTTGGGAAAGAGATATAAAGGGGACAATAGGAAAGAGGAAGGCAGGAGCAAAAATGTCAAGCCATTAAAAGACAAACATAAGCATATTTGTCCTTTCCTTAAGAACTCAACCCGAGAAGATTCCATACCTGGGGTGGTGATAAATGAGAGGAAGAGCTAAGCTCCTAAGAGTCATTTGTTGGGTGTTACGATGTATTACGCAGTGCTAGATGATTCCACAAGCCTTTCTTAATTCTTTAAACTAACATGTGGTTCACGGGTATAGTTATTATCCTGTAAATGAGGAACCTTGGGGCTCAGAGAGGTGGTCATTTACTTGAGAGAACAAATGTCAGAGCTGGATGTAAACCTAGGTCCGGGGGCTGCTCCAGCTCAAGGGAAGTTCCTCTCTCCCTGACTTCCCCTAGCAAGAAGGCAAGCTTGAGATTTGTTATGAACACTACACTGTTCCCTTCAACGTCTTGAAATTATAGAGGTATCCTCCTTCCCCAACCTTTCCCTCCCCCAGATGTTAGTGACTTCCTAATGAAGGTCTCAGTTATTTCCTTTCTTGTGATCATTACACATTACTCCTTCTGTATGTCCCCATTGTCTGAGTTGATGTTACCATTCAGGCTAGTACTTATGTAATGACCACTGGGCTGTGAGCTTGAATTTTCTTTTTCTTTTCTCCTTTTCTCTCCCTCTCTCTTTTTCAGAAGATTCAAAGAAACAAGGAAAGGTGCTGGCATGTGGTCTCTGGATAAGTCTCCGCTAGGACTTATAGGAGCAAGGAAACCCCCTTGCTATCACACAGCAGGTTTTACTGCAGTCTCTATCCCTTCAATGAGTATGGTTATCAAGCAAAAAGCCAATTAGCAACCTCTGCTTTACTTCTGTGGTAATAATTAATCAACTCTAGAATTTCAGCCTAAAATCCCAACTCCTACCGCAAGTACAAAGCCTTATATGATTTGCTCCTACCTGTCTCTTCCGCTGCGTCTTATGCCACTCTGTACTCCTCAGGCACCTGCAGCCACACTGGCCAAGGCCTGCTTCTCAGCACTGGAAATGTGACTAGTCTCAACTGAAATGCGCTGGAAGTATAAAATATACACCAGACTTAAGCAAAATATATCACTAATATATATCACTAATCACTAATGATTTTATATTGATTACATGTTGGGTTACAATGGAAACTAATTTAATTTGTTCCTTTTTATTTTTTTATTTTTTGTGGCAATTTGAACATTTAAAATGAATTCGTGGTCCGCACTGTATTTCTATGGGACAGTGCTGCTCTACCACATTACCTTCTTTTGTTTCCCTACTTGACACACTGTCTGGACCTACAGTGTCCATGTTATCTGTTTAGTACCTTTCTCGCCCAACCAGGACGTAAGGCAGGAATACTGTCCTCATTCACACCTGATTCCCAGGCATTTAGGACAGAGCCTGAAGCTTCCTAAGTACGCTACTAATAGTCTTTGAAGGAAAGGCCTTACTCTTCCTCAGCTGGAGACTAAAGAACTCGAGGTCTCAAGTCCTCTGAGTTACACCCGTGGCTCAGAGCGGACCACATGCTCCCGACCCTGGGAAAGAGGGAGGTGGATGCACAACCAGACGGGAAAAAAGCCTTCCGGAAGGTAGCACCGGTCGCACGACGCACAAACGAGGCGGCGACCCCAAGCCCCTTCGCCCTCTTTCCTCCTGGAGCCCCGCCCCACGGCCAATCATTGGGCACTTAGCCCTCGCGCCACATTGCGGCGTCTCGCGAGGGCGCAGCGGCCAGTGGTACAGCCCGTTCCCCCCGCGCTCCCCGGACAGTGGGTCCTTCCAGTCGTAGAAAAGCATTGTGGGAGGAGACCCCGGCCTTTTCTGCTTTTGCGCTCCGGGGTAGGGGAGGTGTTTCGCGCTTTCCGGGATGGCGGGGTTGGGGGACGCGGGGTATCTCGGTTTCCGAAGGGCCCAGGCGCTGAGCAGGGACGCGCGGCCACCCTGAGGGCGATGGGATATGGTTCGCCGCTGTGCCGGGCCCGAGGATCCCGTGCCGTGAGTCCGTGGAGGGAAGCGGCCCGGCCTGGTCTCCACCACGTTGTCCGTGGACCTCAGAAGACCCCAACGCGGCCCCCAGGCTGCGTTCCCACTCCAGGAAGTGGAAGATGGACTTGAGTGCATTTGAGTTTATTGGACACGTACTGTGTGTCAGGGAATTTTTAATAGAAACAGATTTCTCGTGAAAGAGAAAGGCCTCACCCTGTAACTGCATGCATGCCTACCGTATCCCATTTGAGATCAAGTCTACATAGGAGTAAAGTGCCGTTTAAGGTTTAGATCTCGATATTTGTTTCAAGATAGAGAACTTGGCGAGTGAGCGGCAGCAGCTTCGCAGGTGAGTTTGCATTTAGTGCAAGGAGGAACCAGTTGCATCCCAGCTTTTGAAGGTTTTAACCACTTAAAACACTTTCTACTGCAGTTCTTGTTAACCTAGTCGGGTTTGAATTGTACAAGAAAATCTACAGCTGGTATTAATCACCTTTGAGCTCATCCACAGAACAGTACATTATGGGGTCAGCAACTTTGTGCCATAGATAGAGCAGTCCTTGGGTAGGTTTCTTGTAGCCTTTGTGTTGCCCGTTCACTTTTGGAAACTAGTGAATGTGGTGTCAAAAAAGGCGTAAACTAAACACTTTGCAGCCTTTTCCTGCCCTTGAATTTGGTATCTTTGGCGTAGGAGCTGCACAAGTAACAGTTTATGCTTTTACATTAGTTGACACGTGTGATCTTGAGTCTTAAGCGTATAGTTTCTCTTAAGCAGTTTTTAACTACATTTTGTTCAGGTGAAAAACGGATGCTTGAAGCATATCCTGCTGCTAGCTGAATTCTGTCCTGGAGCACCAAGGGTGACCTAAGGTAGGATGATGGTGTTGTAGTGCTGTCTTAAAACAGTTATTTGTAATGCAAACTTCTAGGTTGGGGTGCTTTAATGGGTATTAAATTAGTACTGCAACGTGTAGTTAAGGTGAAGTTAACGGCAAATAGGAAAGCCTGTTCCCAGCTTAGTTTCGGAATTTTAAAATACGTGTTTGTGTAGTAACTAAATTTCCAACACTTGCCAAATCTCAGGTTTTACGTGGACGTTTAAAGCTGAGTCCAAAATACAATTCAGAAGGATATACTGAGTTTTATTATGAAGCTTTTAATGTTTGATGCACGTGAATATATGTCAAATTCAGTGCTTTATTTTGTCTTTTAGGATGTCCTTGATGAATTCAAAACCATCACAGGAAATCTTGACAAGAGTTGCTTGGATCATTTAAAATTCCCAGGAGTCTGAGGGGGTACTAAAACAACTGTTTTGGAACTGTCCATAAATCTACCTTTAAAATAGTGGGGCTATGAATAAATATTTCCTTGTGCTTCTTGGAGGTTTGTGTATTAAGTAATTAACTGCCAGCAAATAGCATTCTTTTGAAAGATCAAAGGGAAAGGGAGGGTTTCTATCCTCCCCGCCCCTGAAACTTGAGAATGGTTTAATCTCAGCTAAGATTGATATTCAGAGCTACCAGTTAGGGAGAACTAAGTGCTTGCTTTCAGTGCCTCGGCCTGGTGAACTAGAGTAGTTGGTTTTTAGGTCACAGGTGTGTTTTACGTTGTCACTGCATTTTTTTTTTTTTTTTTACCCTCCACCTCAACTTTGTAGGAAAGAACAAATAGTCTTTGGGCATTGAAACATTTATTGAGTTTTTCAATAACGTACTAGGAGGTGGGAACACAAGGGTGAGCAAAACACAGTCCCTCCCTTTGGAAGCTTAGAGTTGAATGGCAGAAATATCATCACAGATATGAAACTGCCTTTGTGAGACAAGTCTCATTCATGAGTTGACCAAGGAAACCTGAGAAAGCGGTTGAGATTAAGGGCAGTTATCATTTTTGCAAGGCAAAGTTGGGAATGGCATATGCAGAGGCCTTGGCCTAGGAAAGATACAGGTTTGTGACAGTTGTAGTTACTTTCCGTCTTAAGCGTCCTGATTTAGATAAGAGTTGAGTGCTTAATGAGGCTTGAAGGTGGCTATTAAGGGAGCCCATGGGTGTTACAAAATGAGCCTGAGCAGGTAAAACAACAGACCACATAGGGCTCTGTTTAAAGCAAGGGGAAATTTTATAGTTGTCATGTGTAAAAAAGGAGATGCAGGTGGGCCAGTTGTTGAAGCAAGAGAGGACCACCTTGGACCAGGGTGGTAGTAAAATTTGGAGATCATTAAGCTATAGAGAGCAGAGCTAACAGGACTTGGTAATAGGGGAGGTGTCTAATGATTGCTATGTGTGTAGTTTTGCACATTCACATGGTAGTGGTCCTGAATCCAGGGAGCAGCATTTTATTTTTTTT